TTTCTAGAACACCTTTGTGTTTCCATGTTCTTAGGCGTAAATCTTAGCTCAGACGAAATTCACTATTCGAGCGAGTCCTGTGGTTGAAGAAGGTTTGTGCAGAATAAGACTATTTAATTCTACATCTTTCGAGAGAAGAAAACCACTTTGTTTAAATTTTTCCTTTAAAAACTGTTACACGCGAAAAGCCATTGGACACACGTGTTTTGTCGTTTGTAGGCAAACAAACTTAGAAAAGCCTTTGTAGTCCTTTCAAGGGAAAAATCTTTTAATGTGATCTGTATACGTCCCGAGGCCATTTCCACCTGCTAAATAGAATCTGTTGTGTTCATTCGGTGTCCAACTGTCAACTAATTAACCAGTGGCCTTGTAAATTAAGTCAAAACAACAAGCTGCCGTCATGAATTGTGTAAACAGAACTCAAAACAATTTGGTAAATTGAGTGTTTTTCATTCCTGGCGTGACTTACGATTGTCGGGTTCACGACAAGCCATAGTTTGCATTCTACATTTAGCTCGGTGTGCAATATTCCTAATTGCTTCACTTTGGGCTACAAAGCTCAGCGTGAAAGCAGATATATTTCAAATATACTACATCCCCCGAGTAGAATCCTTCACTCAAATTAATTCAATACTTTTCGACGATTCAAACTTCCCTACATCGTTCAATACTGAAATATCTCTTTTTACATACTTGCAGAAGTCATTTTTCGTCTAATACTATATGTAGTGTCGCTTCAATGCAGACAGTTTGTAACTAATTAACAAAGTACAACGAACATTCGTTGATAAAAGAAAGAGGCACCCTATGTATCTCAAGCGCTTTTTAATGAACTGGTAACTTAATCTTTCTTCACCAGTAGCGCAGAGATCTAAACATCGTAAAACTTTTTTGTCCCGATAGTCACCGCTGGTAAGATATGAATGTCGCTCATTTTGTTCGTACAGTCGCCGGCAAATCTTCGGATCGTTGGAGCTTTCCGAACTTTTCCGATTCTTTTGCTCAATCAAAACCATGCGCTTCGCACACTAGACTATGCAACAGGGAACAGTTAGTTTCTATAACGATGTTTATAAAGTAATCAGCCGCTTGCATCATTGCAGGCTCTTTGCTCCTAACCCCTTTGAAATTATATTATTATGGCCGGGCTTTTTGCGGTACTTAATACACTACCATATTTGTCTCACACCGATCTTGTGATTGAAGGTAATGTAGTACTCGAGGCAACAGCCCTTGCAGTGGGGATTTGACCGGACTTCAATTTGTTTTGGATCATTACTTGTCTCCGTGGTTGTCGCATTTGAGGGCTTTGTCTATCCCACCACAACACGAGTAAATTGATGAGTTTTATCCTATTTTAAAGTCTTAAATTGGTTGTGGTATGACTTTGTATTATTTGTCCGGATATACCTCCTACAGAGCTTCCCCATTCTTGTGGTTAGAAATCAATACTAGTCTCCAGGGGTACTCCCAGAAAAATTGGGTGGGGGTGCGCGGCCTGCTTCCCAAACCCCTTACCCTATTTAAGACCAAAATCTGCGATTTTCCCTACTCTATTTATGAGCTTACCGAAAATTTGATATTCTCCGGCTTTATGACAGTTGCGGCTGGCACAGTTACCGCCACGAAACATAATTTATGAAAGGCTTTTGTTGATGATCTTATCGATAATGATGAAAAAGTAGCTTCTTCTAAAAGTCATATCCAGTTCAAGACAAGAGTGCAAAAACCATACCCTATTTATGACCAAAATAGCCAAAATCGATACCCTATTTATGACCAAAACGGCTGAAAAACCATACCCTTTGGGGCCGCACATATACCTATATTGCCCGCGAAGGGATTACCTCGGGTACTAGTCTACCTTAGAAGCCGTGAGTACGTAGTAGATGTATTTAGCTATGAGCATTCAAGTCAGTCAGTAGATTAGTACAGAGGTAGTTGCTAGTCAGCTAGGTCAGCAAAAAAACTATATAGCTTGAATACGCTTTCCACGGTTCAATCTGCTGTTAATCGAAGAAAAAAAGCATTTTCTGCGATAACGACCGCGTTCAAAGAAGCTCAATACGTTACTACACTGTGCAGTGTTTCCTATAGAATTTTCCTTGCGTGGCAGAACTTGATTCCCCCAAAATGCTCTTTAAGAAATCGCTTGCTCAAAAATGTACCGTGTTATCGATAGAAACACAGAACTCGTAACGACCCATTATCAGATAACAAATCATTTTCCTTTCATTTTCTAGCAGTGTAAAATAAGCATAGAAACTATTGATTTTCTGACTATGTTTCTGTCATAACACACTCTTGAAATTTTAGTAGAGCCCGCGCTACGTTCTCTCACGAGAGTTCCACACCCTGTTTTCAGAGCAAGAAAACCCGGAAAAATCTTTTTCTACTAATTTCTCAGTAATATAAGCCTGTAAATCTGTAAGTAATGCTTGTGCAAGAAAAATTCAAGTTATACTGACAAAGAAATTCTTATTACATCGCATGGCGAGCTTTCGGAGGGAAGCAAATGATCTTTGCATTTGACAGAATGAGTGAGTAAGTAAGTGTTTCTGAAAAACGCAGATATTTCTCTTCTTTCGAGAATGTTGGCATGAAATGGCAATCCAAGAAACGCTTGCGCATGCGTGTTTCAAAAAGAATGCCATATGATTTATTTGCGGGGAGGGAGGGCTGTTTTCATTGTGAATCGGGCAAAATCAGTTAAATTGCACACACGGGTCGGGTTCGAAGACATCTCTCCCCACCCCACTCGCCATCATAAGGCGAGAACTGCGCTGCATGGGAGAACAGGGCGAGACAGAAAGCCCGCCAGCTGGAAAAGCTAATATGCCTTATGTTGTACCTATTTACGTAGTTGCAATAAAGCGTTTTGCATTTTGATGTGGAAAACCAATTACCTTCAACAGCAGTTAGGTCACCAGCTGATTCATGGTTTTGTTTGCAAACGAACCACGGCGATGAGTAACATTCAACTGAAGTTTTTGCGCGAGAATAGACCTATCCTTCTGCTAAGGAATTGTGACAGGTTTTAAAAGACAAATCAAGTTGCTTATTTGCACAAGCATGCCTTCAAATTAGTGATAACTTGGGTCTAAACATGCTAAGTACAGACCACTCTTGAATTTGCATGACAAAAAACTGTATTAACGGTTAAATATCGTGTCGATTTAGTCAATAAGTTTTGGTAAAAGACGGTTTAACACGATTTATCTATGAAAGGCTCTATTCACTAAAGTGTTTAATCTTCTGGGTAGCTATTGTGATCAGCTAATCAGGGCCCAATTCATTCAGGCAACAACCGCCCATGATAGTGACGTCATTGGTGGGTTTTTCTGCGTATCACACGAAAGACGAGAACTAAATTCTCCGATGATATATACCGCATATGTCGGATCTTTCTTAATTCTTGGCCCTTTAAGTTACTATAGTTCAGTCGAGGTAAAAATCGCGTTAACACAGCGAAGGGAACCGTTACTTAAACTGAGACGCTGATAAATAATGCATACCGCTCGTTATTAGCATTTAATAAGCTTAAGCCGCACTCACAAAGTTGTTTGGTTAAACATAAAACAGCTGCTTACAGTTGTAGAAAGGTTTGTTGACCTCGGGCGTTTCTACAATAAAACCGCAAGTTGGAGGTTTTCTGGCGTTGCAATTTCTTAGAAAGCCCCAACTCCCTCCCGCTGGGTCCGGGCGCGTGGGCGGAGAGGGGATCATCTCTTTGTCTGCGAGGCCTTCATTTAGCAGGATTAAACTGAGTGGACGCTCATTTTAAATAATAAGAATTCGCTCGGAACAAGGGGTCTATTATGACCATGTCAAACGGACATGTGATGTTCCATTTCTTATGTTTATGTGCAACATAATAAACGTCAAAATATAGCGAGATATTTGATAATTATGGTTTACAGTTACCTTAAATTATGGCCTTCCGTACCGTTCAGAAAATTGCCATTTTAAAATTAAGGAGAATGGAGAGATTTACACCAGACTGAGGTTTAAATCATGTAAGGACCAAGCGCTTTATAAGATAGTGATGCGAAGCCTGAAGCTTATTAAATATTTAATTCAGGTATGTAGGAGGACTATAATTTTTAAACCAAACATTTTCCTGTTAAGCTTTTCCCACGCGCAGTCGACACGAGCCTTATCGATGATCATACGAAAACTTGTGAGAATTCAATTTTACGCATTTCTGGCGTTCTGGTTGGTCGAGAGGAACCACGTGACCTTTTTCGGAATCACGTGAACTGATCCGTGCGTTCTGATTGGTGGAGCCTCAGTGGCCAACTGTGCAAACACACGTTTTAAAAGTCTTGGAGCCCTCGATACAAATTGCGTATGTCTGCCACCTCTCTCAAGGAAAAAGTTTTGTTGGGTGGTGGTGGTGGTNAGAGGAGGAATGCGCGCTGTCTATCGTGTTCCAACAACTGGCGGACATAAGAGTTAGTAGATGTACACGTACACAGGCTGTCGAAACTTCCTGGAAAACAGTTGATTCCAAAGATTTTACAAGTCGACAGTAGAAATAAAGGAGCCGTAAGCTACAAAGGTGTCTTTAAGCGAGTCAATCAAAATATGCCTGACTGAAAATCAAATTATACTTTCTACTCCAAATAGTCTTTGTAAAGTTGGAAAACTAAAGAAATTAGTATAATTGAATAAGGAATCAATCCAGTAAAGTCTTGGTCCTACTACATAGTCAGTGATATAACATGACTTAGCCGATGTTTATATCCTGCCTTTTTCCCTCTCCATCCACTCCCCACCCCCCTCCAAAACAAAATTCGCAGTAGCCTAGTCCCAAGTCGTTCTCGGCTCACGAGAGTCTGGAGTCTATCGCGAGGTGAAGTCGCTGAAGAAATTACTCTTCTCGCCTACTCGCCTACTTCTCAGACCGCGCGGACAGTGAAAAAGGAGGGAAGCCTAGGGACTAGAGTGACCATTGGCCGTTGTACATTTTGTTACAATTATAGACCACCACAGCAACCGACGTTGCAAAAGAAGTCGTTTTATTTAGCAAACTGCATCAAAAAATTGACATTTAACATCCTAGTAAAGTTTACCACTAGAAAGCCCCCACACAATAATATGGAGAAGTTATTCCCCGTGTAAAGACACCTATGAACACTGTGCGGATCGCTAGAAATTACCATACTCTCGCACAAGCCATGTTATATAATGTTCGGCTTGATTATAATGACTCCGTTTAAGTGCAACTCGGATAGAAAGAGAGAGAATGTTACATGGATTTCTGCCTTGTCACCTTCCAGCAAAAAGGAGGGCGTTCACCTCCTTGAATAGAATTTCAATGCCCCTGGCGAATTTATAACGATAAATTTCACGATTGATTCATGGGACTAAAATACAAAGTGCTGTAAGCAGATAGACATTTTAAAAATCTGGCCAAATATCACTCTCTTACGTTACAGTTATTTAGGTCACGCCACACCGAAGAAAGCGTTGTGTGACAATTCAGATGATCTCCTTTATCCCAGTCGCACTGTCTACCTATATAAAACAGAAAATATTGAAGAATTACGTGTTAACCCGTTCGGCTCCTCTTAAGCTATACAGCCTGTTGGCTCGTGTGACCTCCATGTGTTACTTACTGGATTCACACGAAACAACTATTGTGCACAGTAGGGCCAACGATGAGAAAGACTGCGTGAGTAACGCTACACTGAAAATCACGCCAACTTTTCAAAGTTCTTCAAATTTCTCTTCGCGTAGGGAGTATACCACTTAATAGTACAAGCTGAAGCTGAATTCACTGACTAGCCAGTTAAAAAAACGGCGTTACAACTTTTCTTAAGCTTGTGACTTCCTGTCACGTTTGCATTGCACTACTGCTAATAAATACCTCACCCAAATTTACGTCCAATTTGTTCCGCAAACGTTGTTGTTTTACATTAAACCTCACGTCCTGCATGAAATCCAGAAGCATGGCTCCTTGTACAACATTTAGTGACGTTTTTTAAAATTATATATAAACAAAAAGCATAAAAACAAACTGCGTTTTATCTCGTTTGTGTCACGCATTCTATCGCGGTCAAGGTTTTCACCTCATCACGCAACATAAGCAAGTCACACAACTATCCGTATTGTAACGTATTATGTTTGACTAATATTGCCTTTTAATTATTATAAGAGATATCCTTAACGTTTAACAGTTTATAATAATTAATCAACCCGAGCCCTTGTATACCATATGCAACAAAATTTAAAAGCCAGTTCGAATTGAACAAATTTTAGAATTCATTGCAATAAATTTCTAAAAAAAAAAGCATTACAGCTTGATCCGTTTACGAGAAAAGTTCAGAATAGCCATTTTCTTTAAAAAAAAATATACAGTTAGTCGATAGATAACTTCAGAATGAAAATACTATGACTTGGAAAGGGATTTGTTCATGAGAGAACACCCTAAAGATGTTCCCATAATATTTCGGACACATCCTTGGCAACACTAAGGTGTTTTGGCCAAAACGTTCCAACGGAAAAGGGTCGAGATGGACCATGTTTCACGCCAAATCGGTTTAAAATCTTTAACCTATCTCTAAAAATATTTTCACGATTGTACTTCGAAAACGTCTTGAGAAACATATCTCACACGATTTACCTGCAAAATCATTCACATAAATCACTTCGCTGTTAGCTACAATCAGAAATCCATTTAAGGGTCTGAGTTTCTGTTACATAATTTACACTGTTTACAAACACACTTGCCTACTTCCTAGGCCTCTATATTTCGCCTCGGTCAATCGTTTTCGGGTCACGTGGTCACCAAAATCAATTGACCGTGAAGGCCTGGAAAAAAGCCGTACAGGAACTGGGATATAAAGATACCTGTTTTGCTGGGGGGAGGAATTCCTGATGCTTACCTTAAATACAAGCTAATTTAATACACTACTTGTAGGCAAGTTATACTCGCTATGCAAGATACGATCAAACGGTACATACTGCTTCTAATATCTACAATTCACGAAAGTGCTAGCTCCGTAATATACACAGTTTTCTTTTTAAGGCGTTTTAGCCGCGTTGTTTGCTTCAAGGCTAGTAGCGGTTGTATCCACTGAAACAGAAAGCAAATACGTTCAATTATTTCAAGACAAGCCAAAGAACAACGTGCAAAAATAGACAACCCATCCTATGAGGATAGCAGAGTGTAAACTTAAAAAAAATTCAACTGCATTAAACTAGTTTTTTTGTACCTTAATCAAGTCTGATAGCCGACTTTTTATAGTTATCAATGAAAATTGGATACACTTCATGTTAGTTAGCACCAAACTTGTTTCAAATGTAAGTTGATGTTTAATTTTTTTTTAAAGTTGTTTGTGACATAGCTAAAGCGATTCATTTAGGTATTTTAATGCGCGCCAAACGTTTACAGTACTGTACTGACTGAAATAGTAACTTAAAGCCTCGGTAACGTTCCAGTGATGTGACTGTCGATTATTAAATTAACTAATCAAGTAGGTGTTAAAATGTTTTAACGTAAAAATAAAACATTAGTTAGTTCGCACACGACGGGCATTTGAGCTTTTGAATTCCTTGCCTCCACGTCAAATGACGTCATGCAACCTCTTGCAAGAGCGTTATTTTGGGGGCCTGGTGAGACTCGCACCATTCCTCCTCTTACTAATTTGCGCCTTCTCGCATCTGACAAAATTACATTACAAGCTCAGGAATGTTTTGTACTTTCAGAGGTCCATCAGATGTTAACCATTTAAGCGCTACTGGCAACATACAAATTTAATCTACTTTATGCTTTATTCGCAAAAGGCTTCAAAGCCCGAAGCAACAAGCGCTGCATGCCGAGAGCTTCCGAGGGTTTTCTGTTTAGCCTCGGTAAACAACCGCCCCTTGTGGGCTCAAATAGAAACGTCTGGGACTGGAACCGAGAAATTCCATACTGATGACGTCATTCCACTAAGAACTGAGTGGTCGTTGTTCGATTCCAGTTTTGAGGGCGTGTTTTTCAAGGAGGAGAGAGTTGTTTCATTTTTATTACAGCATTGGTTTTGAAACATATTTACTTTATCGTTTACGTTCATATACAGCAGTTGGTGCTTTGGGCGAATGAACATTTCAGAAGTTAACAATAACTGATCGAAAATCAAGTTACCCGTATTAGCATCTGCCCGGAGGAGCCTGGGGATAGACGGAATTTCTGGCAGAGGAATCACCACAAAGGATTAGATCACACAAGATAAACATTTTTTAACAGTGTGACCTTATGGCAGATTGAAGCTTGAGGTAGCTCACAAAAGAGTGCTTATAACTGCATTGATTAAAACTAACTTCTTGATTGTGACAGGCTCTAAGCAGGATTGATTCTGACCCAGAGAAGTCGGACAGAGTAAACGTCACGCATGCAAAGTGCATAACTCATGCGTGACAGTCAATAGCGCATGCCGTGTTCTGACAGTTGCACTGGAATGGGTTCCTTTTCTTCTGTATCTCGGTCAAAAACTCAGCGATCAACTATATGTTTCTATTCATGGTATTGGTCAACATATTTTGTTGTAGCTTTGATTGGTAACGGGACTTCGGGTCGTCCAGTTGCCACGCCCACAAAACAGGAGTTTGATACCTCTTAGGGGTTCTTTTCAAAATTTCCGACCAGCAACCCTGTCCTTTTTATATGGGAGGCCCCCCCCGGGGGTCCAATTCCTCCATATATCATACTCGTAATGAAACTGATCGCCTTCTTCTACGAGGTCGTCCGATTTTCTTTATCACTCGTATGATTACAGACCGAACACTCAGTCCTATTACCACTTTTGACTGATATATACTGAAGGAACGAAGAACAATCTTGCTTTCCGTCCGTATTACGTTGTAGTTTACGTTAAAAACTGAGATATCCAGTCAGGATACCAACTTACTGAATACTGTTTCTCTACCGTCCTTCCCGTTCTAATAACAGCGACGAATCTTGAAAATGAATTTTAACTTTACGACCTTTTTAGGTTTCTACAATCATCTTTGGTGAAATTTGTCTCAATTTGACAGCCACCTGGGAACTGTTAGAACTGTTTCGCAGGACATTTTGGGGAGAGGAAAAAAAAAGCGTGGTTGTTAAACCAGCACCTGATAAACTGAATTGAAGGATTAAATGTAAACCTCTCAACGGATTTGTTCAACACAATGATACATGTGATATGTCAAAGGTGTCTTTCCATCGACGTTTTGACTAGCGTAAACTTTGAAAAATGCTAAATTGGAAATGCAAGGAATTTCACAATGAAGTTTCTCATTAGGCTGTTTTAAGCTGTGTTTGACGGCAAACGGCAAAAATGAAAATCTTCCCTTTCCTATTTTAGTCTTTTGTACACTAAAGTGAGAATATTTGCTAAGAAAAGAAGAATTTTTTTGGTATTTTTGTGTTGGATTGATTTTAGGATCAGTAAAAAACAAAATAAAAACAGAGGCAACTCTTACAGCTTGCGATTTGTCGTCAATGTTACTCTTACACTCCTTATTAAGCCTAGTTCAAACTAGCGACATAACGACATGAAAAGGTCGTCATGTCGTTACGTTTGCAACGTGAGCACCCTGAAATAACGATATAATAGCTACATAACAGCATGAACATAACCATTATATAGATAGGACTCTGTGCGCACTCTGATTGGTCAAAAACCCTTGTTTTAACAGAGTATAAAACATAGAAAAAGCGAGTTTTATTGTTTTGCGCGTGGAAAATCTATATCATAAAGCAAATGAAGAAGCTTAAGCCGTGTATTGCACCGTGATAAAGCACTCCGGACATCTGAGAACACTCGAGAAATGCCCGTCGTGTTTTATCACAGTGTAATACACGGCTTAGGCTTCCTTATTTGTTAAGTAAAGAAAAAAGTGATCTTTTCGTTAAATCTATATGTCGATGTTCACATTACCGACATAAGCGATTATGTCGTTACGTCGTTATGTTGCTATTGTGACCTAGGCCTTAGCAACCAATGCGCGCGGTCAAAAACCTCCCGTGAGCCACCTCAAGCTTCGATCACCATCTTCACGTCTGTAGCACGAATGTAACTGAGTAGATCCATTTCACTTCACGACATCATGCGAGTTACACTTGCATTTCGTTAGCAATTAGTGGTTTGTGTTATTCAAAAGTACACCAAGCAAACGGACAGCTGGTTAACTAGCTGTACTATTTAGTTTAGCTTCAACCCGTTTTATCTTAAATAATCTCTTCCGTACTATTAGTAAGGCCGTTGCGTGACGCTTCTCGGAGAAGCGAGGCGTGACGCGAAAAAGAGTTGCGTGACGGCCAAATAAAGGCGAAGGAAATTATTTAATGGTTTAATAACAGTGCTGTTTATGTCTTGTATAACCCTTCACCGTTTATTGTTAATAAGTACAACACCGTTATGCGACAAGAACCGATGATTTATGAGCAGAACCCTCTGTTAATGTTACATCAAGAATAATTTTCATGCGTTAATTTTAAATTTGCGTCAATGATTAACTCTTTCAAACGCATTTATAATTTATACAAGCAATGGAAATGAATGAGTGAATGACACAGCTACCAAGCAAACCCACAAACTAGATCCCAGGCTCTCTCTCCTTAAGCAGAAAGACCCTGGGAACAAGATTGTTTTACCCATTCAATCCCAATATCAAACCACGAATTCTCCTTTCCTACCGCTATACATTCCTTTAAAAATAAGCTGCGAGAGTATGGTGATTCATCAAGACAATATCTTCTATATGATGGTTGTCTTAACTCTCCCCACCTTTCGATTCGACAGCGTATGGATAATGGAATGAGAAATAAGGTTACGATCTTCGATGCATTTCACTTACTTCGGATTGGCCCACTGTTTCTTTTCATTGGTTCTATGGAAAGAAGGTAAGTGAAATGATGGTTGGCAAAATATAAAGCAACGAAAAGATAAGACGTAAAAGTGATAATTTTTGTTTTACAGAAAGTCAAAGTTTGCATTGAGCCACTTTCCAAGCCGGGGATTTCCCACTTTTTCGGCGAGTAGAGTTATTTCTACTCTTTCCACTGTTAGTCCAGCGCAGGTTACCCCCCTCCCTCCAGCATTAAATTTGCTGGTACCCGGTTATACACCTACGTAGTTTTCCCAAGAGCACAACGCAAATAGTGACCAGGAGCCCGTTTCTCGAAAGCCCCAGAAACTTTTCGGGTGTATACGCCTGAAACGCCTGAAACGTCTTGTATGAAAGGCACCTCTGTTCATATTAAGAACACGTGAATAAAACAGATCTGTAATCATAAGCTTCGAGATTTTGCTGTGGCTTTCAGGGTGCGAAAACTTGTCGAGACCTTCGAGAAACGGGGTCCCAGACCGGACCGCTCATCCGGAGTCCTGCGCACTAGTTATCGGGGCGCCGCGCTTCTCGTAGAATAAACAAAACAGAAAATAAATACACAAATGAACAAAAAGTACTTACCCTGGGTACTGTGGTGGTGCAGACGGATGATGGCCCATTTCAATCACCTCTCTACAAAGGTAACAACATACTTGCCAAGTTACTTCTGGATTTCATCATGAATAATTAATTTCCCTTACGAGTTTGTTTTCATAATCAGAGCTCTCTCCTGGGCGGATCGGACGCTCATTGGACTCGTCATGCAATCTGGGAGAGGAAGATTACGTGACGAACCCAAAGAGCGTCCGATAGGCTAGATAAAACTTTCCCATTGTTTTTCTTCACAAGACCTATGTGGTAAACGTACCTTTGGGGGAAGAGTAAGGGCTTATCACCGAGAAGGGAGGATAATCTGAAGGAGTTCTGTTTCCGAAAATGTTTCGGTTACATTTGAAAAGTTGGGCTCACGTTGGAATATCGCAAGCTAAGGTAGGGACCATTATTTTTTTAAGGGGGGTAGCCCAAGGTCTCACCCCCTCAAAAAAAATGGCCATCCCTATCTGGACAAAAGAAATAATGAAAAAAAAAACACACACAAATTCCAACGACATCAAACAAAACAAGAAATGAACCACACAAGTTGAAAAAAATTATTTTGCTCTTCAAAAGCTAAACGAAAAAAACAAAGAAAAACTCAGCGACATCTATAACTGAAAACACTTGTTGTACTTTTTAGGGAGGAGGCTTCTTAACAAAATTCTGCAGTACTAGCTGTCTGCCCAAGTTAAAAGAATGAAACATAAAATGATCATTTGTAATAACCAAAGTCACTTACGTAGGGTAATCGTGATCGAAGTCACTCTCATAATCCATTTTACGGTAATGTTTGGCCAATTTAACACTGAAGATTATGGCAGGGATGAAGAAGAACAGACAATAGCCGATAGAGAACCAGAAACCATTCTAAAAAGGTAAACAAAAAGGAAATGTGATCTATTTGCGGCAACGTTCACATTACGCCGGAGAAATTTGAAAACGCAGTTATTTCTACGGTGAGTCCTAGCGTCCACAATAATCCGTCACGAAAACGGAGCTTTTCGAAAATGCTCTTCAAAGCAGAGGAGTTTGAAAACGCAGGCTTTTCGTTCTTGTGTGGACCGAAAACTTTTCGAGCTTTTCGAACACGATGGCGTCACGATAATCATGTGATTTGGCTGACCGAGTTTTCCTCAAACACAAATCCAAAATGACTGGTGATCGCTGCGTTTTTAAATTCTCTGGGCGTAGTGTGGTCGGAAAACCTTTGATGCGTTTTAAGAGTAATACCCCCGTTTTCAAATTCCTCCGGCGTAGTGTGGATGAGGCGTGAAAAAAATGCTACACGCATATCTGTCTCACCATAACAAAGTGATTCATGTTAACCAAACTGAAATTGTTATTAAATGTACACTACCACATCATTTATCAAATACCACATCATTTCTGTCCCTTTTAAAATACCTTGCCCAACAAGATCGTTCCCATAATGAAGTCACTGGAAAAAGTTGATGGCAGTTCTTCAACTTGCCTACATTTTCTAGCAAAAGTACATGTAACATATCAAACACAAAAGACCGTGTTTGATCACATTTCCAAACACCAAGAAGAGAGTTGAAAATACTACTCGCAGCGGAGTACTTTTGACGAACTTCGAGGTGTTTGAAGTTGTGGTCAAATACTGGCTAATTTACATCAGATATTTAAACACCGTCACGGTCATGATTTCCTTTGTTTAAACTTACTGAATTATTAATGAGTTAGAGAAGTACGAGATTACATATGTACCACGAGCACAATTTGAAAAGACTATTACCTAAGATCAAAGTCATCAACAGGCCTTTTCATGGTTGCCTTTCTCATTTGCATTACAATGTAATCTAATGTGGATGCGAGGCAATTTGGGGCAGAAACTATAAAATTACCCGAAACTGCCCTACATACATGTTGGATTGTATTGTAATGCAAATGATATGTTAACCGTGAAAAGGTTATTGCTCAGTATTGTAGGCACGCAAGGAGTACAGAGAAGCATGCAGCATGTTTAGTGCCCTTTGTAAGCATTGAAAGTCTACCAAAAAAGATACTTACGAAAGGATAGAGAGCTTGGTTACAGATCACAACAATGGTTGCATCGTAAATATTCGTGACTGGCTTGCATCTTGCTATCTCATTATTAAGCTGTGTGATTCAAAGCAAAACAGTCAAAAGAATAAACTCAACACAATGAAGGTAATGTAATTAAAAAAATAAGTAATTTATAAAAAGAAAAATTAAACAAAAAAATTAAACCTGACTTTTTGAGTTGTTAAAAAAACAACAACAACAAACAAACAAACAAACAAAAAAAAACAACAAAAAACAGCCATTGCTCAAACCAAGACTGCTCAATCTTGAGTCCAGCCACCAGCCATACGTCTACAGTGTCTCCCAGAGAAATATGACTTAAAAATATTGAATGTTCGAAGTTCTCTAGTATTATAGTTGACTATGACATCCTTTAGTATGTGTTTACAACTGTATATTTTTCCATAAGTAATAATGATAAATAAATCAATAAACAATAAATCATAATATTTAGAGTACAAGCCACATCAGCCCTAGCTGGTTTTAATGCGAGTCCTCTATCCTGGTCGAACTGGAATTTGAAGGTGTTGGTTTTTCAGGGGGGAGGAAAACCGGTGTACCCAGGAAAAAACCATCCATCAGAGCAAGGCTTCAAACAGGGCGGATCTAGGGGGGGGGGNAGCTGTGTGATTCAAAGCAAAACAGTCAAAAGAATAAACTCAACACAATGAAGGTAATGTAATTAAAAAAATAAGTAATTTATAAAAAGAAAAATTAAACAAAAAAATTAAACCTGACACCCTCCCTACCGAGATGACATGCGGCTTTCTAATGTAAATGGTATTCTGCAAAAAAACCTAAGTGGTTTATTGGTGTTATGCCATTCCTTAGTAGTGCATCTCTCCTAAGAAAAATCCTGGATCCGCCCCTGTCAAACAAGCAAGGCAACAAACTCAATCCACATATGACACCGGGCCGGAATCGAACCTGGGCCACTTGGGTGGGAGGTGAGCACTCTCACCACTGCGCCATCCCTGTTCCCCCTCCATGGCTGTAAAGAAGATCCATTCATTAAATCGTTTCAATCCCTTATCCTCATGCACTGAGATTACTTACAACATCAAGGATGTGATCTGTGAATTGATAACCCCAGCCAAGCACACGATCCGTGTAATCTGTAACTATCTGTAACAAAACAGCCAGGAAGAAATGTAAGCCATAGCAAAAACAATTATGATACAGGTGTAGATGTTGTACCAACTGAGGCAAGAAGACGGTGGAAGCAGCGCAACTGCAAAGTCTTTTTCTTTTTCTCCTTGATTACATCACGTTGAATAGAACTAAAGTGTAATAGTTTATAAGGTTCAAAATCACCAAGAAAAGCACACAACGTTTTAGGCCTGACAAGAAAACAAAACATGTGCTGCATGGTACATTGAAAAACTTTTATCTCTTCCAAATAAGCATGCACGCCTCTATTGCTCTTTTGCGAAAGTAGCAGATTACAGCAATGGACAAAACCATCGAGACATATTTTTTGCCCACTGTTTAACATTACAGCGGACTTTGCAAATCCCCTTCCCCTTACTAACGCCATTTCTGGCTCCAGAAGTTTTTTCATGACAGCCTCTCGACTCAACATTTAATGAAAATCAATATCACGTTACAGCCATTTAGGTAAGAATCATAATTAGTGTTAATTTTGCATAAGGCAGTCTGTAGTTCGAACTTGTTTTGTCAGACAAATTTTCACATATGAAGAAAACAAATGTAGTACATCTTGTCTTAGAATATTTCAACTTTCATTAAGACATCTGGGACATTTGAGCATGGTAGAAATTCAGTTTTAAGATCATTTTGCAACTACACATGTACAATATTAGAAAACAGAATCTTTCTAAAGGCCAATGTGATTTTATGAAAGTTGCGTACTATATTAATGAATATTTTCCGCTTTTGAAACTGACAAGAGAAAATTACTTTAGCAGATTTCTTGTGAAACATTTGACTATGAAAATGAACACAATGTTTCTTGAGTTTCAACTTAAAGTTATAATGATATTGATATTGCTCTGTTACTTTTAAATTGTGTGCCTGAGTCTTCATTTAGATAAACCAGATATCCACGATATTCATTCTGAGAGTCTGCTTAATGCGGACAACTGGCCGGGTAACCCAGGATTAATAACAATAACAATAACAATAACAATAACAATAACAATAACAAATAACAAATAACAAATAACAATAACAATAACAATAACAATAACAAATAACAATAACAAATAACAAATAACAATAACAATAACAATAACAACAATAATAATTATAATAATAATTATAATAACAATAACAATAACAATAATAATAATAATAATAATAATAATAACAGATATTGTTATTAACCGAAGTATAAAATTCTCTTGTATAAAAATGTTTTCACTGCTTATATTTTGTGTGCCTTAAGATTGTTCAAGTTCAAAACAAAAGGCCATACAATATAAATAGAAAGCTTTACTGAAAAGTTACAAAACTGAAATCAGAATTCTCGCTAATCCTGGGCATTTAGGCATGTCTCTTTGAAGACGTTATTAACTGGCTTCCACTGTATCTGCAAATAACGTTTTTTTTTGTCTAGACACTCACTTTGTTGATGTTCCTTGATGAGTTTGTGTGTAGATAGTTCTCTGCTTTCGTAGCTTCAGCCAGGGTATCGTTTGCCAGCACCTACAGAACATAACAGTAGCAGAAGTCAACTAATTTCACACTTGAACAATCAAACGCTCTTCATAACAACAACTATTATTATATGGCTAGCTACGTGAGCATGCAAAATGAACACTGGGATTGGCTAACTGAGCGGGCACCTGGGTACACCATCTCTGGATTACTCACTGTGTCCCGTAAGAAAATAGTGTTCTTTTTCCATGTAATAAATCCTTTATTGGCCAAGCTTGTTTGGTCAAGCTGGCTTGATGTTGGCCTTGTTCTTTTTTTCCCATGTTTATACACCTGGACTTCATCAAAAAAACTTGGCCAATATCCAACCATCTTGACCTCATGCTTGGTCAATAACCCATAATTGAATGAAGTCCTGTCACTAATTTATGACAAATTTATGCGGGCACACCCCTCACACCCCACTTCCCTATGGGCCTGTACATGTAATAATCACAAGAACAAGACCCCAGATAATGTCCAAGAGGTAGGGAAATCTAAGGGTACACTTACAATTAACTGTCTCAAGACTCTTGAGCCTGAGGTTCAATTAAATATTACGTTTTTGCGACATTGCTTTTAAATCGCCAAATTTGACTAAAAATGTATGCCAGGGTCATAAGCTTTTTTGCGCCAGTTCATATCTAACATTATACCTTCTACAAGTGAATATATCAAATATCATTTATTTGAACTGTAGAGAAAGATATGAAGACAAGATCATCACAGTTATACGCACAACTTTAAGCAGTTGTGAAATTAAAGCCCCCCAAAATTCAGCTTATATCCTTCTCCGCAATTCAAATATATGATCTTTCATATATTCACTTGTACCTTCACCATTTATGGGTATATTATGAGCACACAACGTGACCAGCTCCCAGTTGGCTTGGTAGCTCAGTTGGTAGAGCTCTGCACTGTATCGCGGAGGTCATGGGTTCGAATGCCGTTCAAGCCTGAATTGTTTTTCTAAGCTTTAATTTCACAACTGCTTAAGTTGTGTGTTTAACCGGATGATCAATCATGTCTTCATATTATGCCTTCTCTATGCAAAGGGCTATGCTAATGAGTCAAAATGAAAACAACAATGTCAGAAAAGATTTCCCTAAAGCTAAACGGGTTTAGCTTGCTCAGTACTTAGACACAATTAAGTGACTATGACCAATCACACAGTGCTTACCTTGAGATTTCCTCCAATCCTTCTTAGATCTGTCACATTTCTATCTAATTCTCCCTTTATAAATGAAAAGTAATACCAAACAATTAGATCAGAATCAAAGTGCACAAAGCCTTGTTTATCCATCTTAAGTCAAACCCCTAAAGGGAATTCTCACTCGCAAATTTCCCACCTCAGTTTGTTCCGAGACCTGTCTTAAATGTCACCCAAAACATTGCACACTGATGACAAAGAGTACCTAGAATTAAGCAGTCAAAATTTGTCCAGCTTGAAGTACTTTAGGAACACATCTAGAATTCCCAGGAGGGTTGCCAACTTAGGTCAAAAGCGACAGCAGAGGTATAGAAGATGTGTTTTTGGGAGGGGGAAGCATGGGTGTTTAATGAAAACAAATTAAACAGACTTACAGATTTAGTTTCCATCTCTGTTACTGTAGTGCTTTGTAGATTGCGCAGTCCTTCAGCAGTGTACAGTGTATCGTTTCCAAGTTGCTATCAGTACCAACAACAAAAATGACATAAAGTTGGACTTCATTGCCCCAACAATATCTGTATTAGCTCAGTGAACCAATGTCTGGGGGTAATTTACTGGTTTACAAACAATGCATGGGCTCACAGATAATACAACTTGGTACGTAAAAAGAATATCTTAATTGCCACTCCCCCAATGGATTTTTTCAGGGCAAGAGGAAGCAAATGATGAAACAAATGACGAAACAAATAATGAAACAAATAGTGTAAATGAACATAACATGGTTAAGTATTCAAACTGGCAGGAGTCAGACCAGTTGGCTATTTACAAGCATGACCAAAGAGTTGAACTCTGGACTACCAAGAACAACACCAGCTGGTGGTCAGAACGGGACTTAAACCTGTGACCGCTGGCTTTCAAGTCTGCCACCCTAACCACTCAACCATGCTGCCTCGGACAGTCAACATAATACATAATATATACTTTTAAAAAGTATAAACTTAACTCAAAGTTTTCAGGTTGTACATGTAATAGCTGACAGAGGAAATGGTTAGTTCACTTATGATGGATTAATCAGCAAAATTCCACCAGTTCAAAATCTTAGCTATATCCCTGACCTCTCACTCAAATGAAGGTCATGTTTCCCCCAACAACGTGTTCCCAATATGTACCAATGATTTTCAACTCTGACTATTGATTGATTGGTGAAAAACAAATCTTGTTATTAGCAATGCTTAGCCTACTATTAATCCTTGGTACTTACATAAGCCTTATCTCGTTGATTTTGTCCTAATGTATTATTATTTCCAATCTCCTGAAACTTAGTAGCCAGTGTGGTGAGGTTATCGGCAAATGCATTCAGATCAACAGCAGTTATACTTTGTTGGGTCTGTTACATTTAAAAAGAAAATATGACAATATATCAGTATAACAATAAACCCAAAGTTGTCATGTAAACGATTGATGCTTGCTTAAAGTGATATTTTTAACAGTAGCTAGATTAGTAGCAAATACTGTGAATTAAAATGTAAACTTATTCAATATTTTTTTCTTTTACAATAAGTACTTCAATTGATCTCTACTAAAACTTCACAAGCCCATTGGGCAAGTAATTGACAGAATTCACAAGCCTAACTGCAAATTTCACCAGCCCTGAGCTATCAAACATGATTTTCTTTGCATGTTTTATGCTGTACTGGTGTACCTAACTGTATTATGCAATGTGCAGAGGAACTAAATTTATACTGTAATATTTCCGTTGCCATTGCCATCGTTATTGCTTAACAAGCTCTCTAATGCACAAAATCTGGACTCAATTTTCGTCTGTGACTTCTCTGCTAACAAGGTAATTTTGTGTTTACTTAGTCTACATCAAAAAAACTTTTTGAATGTGGCAAAAGAAATGATAGATGTTCACGCAAAAATGTGTGTACAAGTTTATGTTGCACCAGAAGTGCATAAGAAATAGATGACGAAAGATGGTCCATGATAGTCAATTATCAGGCCTACATGTGCAAGGGTTGTTTTACATTTTTGTGCTTAGTTCCTTGCCCCCGAGTAGGGGATAGGGTCCATTAGGATACATTTTTACCAGAAGTCAATATTTATGCCCAGTGAATTCACTGTGTACCCGCTAGTGATAACTCAACTTGCTTATCAGTGTGATTCACACAACACCATTGTTATGAAGTAAAATGTCTTTATCTAACGCCCCTGAAATAGGATAGAATTTCAGTGTGTGATTTCTTATTCGACTTGCAAACCTACCATCTGCAAAGTGCTACATGTATTATACGATCTGCGAAGCCTTATTGCAAAGCCATGCGGTCTTATTTCTAGTTTTCTTTCTGTGTGTGTGCTAATACAAAGGAGGTTAGTTGGTAAGATTTCTTTGTTCCTGCATGTAATGAATATAGCTTTAATAGCTAATAACTTCAAGCACTAGTGATCATGTTGTTAGAAATTCCTTTTAAGCCACAAGTTCATGTGCATTGAGTATTCTGACTTGAATTCATCTATGCCTTTAGAATCTAAGAGATTGTTATTTGTACCTTAGTTTGATTCAGGTAAATCATAATGAATAAATCGTTTCTTAATCAATACATATTGGATCGATTGGTTTATCAGTTCTGTGACATACTGGTTTTATTTGCACTATTCCAAAATATTTGCAGCCAGGACTATACACTGCAAGTATCAAAATTGCTCACGAATACATTATACATTAACAACAAAACAGTGAAAAATTTGTAACCTGATTCAAGAATGCACCAAAGTCGATCTCATCTACTCCTGAATTACTTAAATCAATCAGGCTCTGGCGTGTGTCATTGTTCAAGATATTGACATCACTTAAGTTGACCTTTAAATCGTTGAATTGCTGTGTAGTGTCATTTCCTAGCAACTGTTCCGGAGAAAAACAAAAACAACAATATTTAGTTAACCATATCTTCTTATTACAAAAGTAAAACCAATATTTTATAAAATATTCTGAACTCTGAGGGCTCATTTTTTATGGGGGCAAGAAGGTAAAATTGAATAGAATGATCTGGAGCTAAAGATAATCAGTGTGATATGCTGGACTTGATAAACTTTCTATATGTTTCTTTAAAATAAAACTTCTTTTAATAACAAACTGATAGACAGAAATTACGAGCATCACTGAGATTGCCAGAAGGACTAACCTTTTCAATATTTAGCCGGTCAGTGATATTAAAAGCTTGATCAAAAGGACCTGCTTGGAAGAGTGGTTTGTTTGCGCGACAGTTACTGAAAAATGAGAAAATGTCATTATGGAGTGGGTCAGGCAAGTTGGCTTCATGGTTAGTGCACTCACCATGATCCAGGTGATCAATATTTTAATTTTCTTGATACCAAATGACAAAGCATGTCTCAAAAAAAATTAACTAAAAAGGCCAAACCATTTTTTTCCATTTTAGCTCTTTTTTGAGCCCTGACCAGAGCACCCACTAGAGTTCCTGTTGCAGCCGAATCATAACTGGAAGCACTGCTTTCTCACAGCGAGTGTTTACTCATTAAATTTAACACAATTTACATAACCTAACACAAGTCAAGCAAATTACTTACATTAGGAACATATAATATACAGATTTAGGCCAGCCTAAAAGCGTAGCTCCTGGGCCGGGTTGTTCAGAGCNCTACTGACAATGTGTTTTGCTGTTTTGTCTTGTGTATATGGTGATTATGAAAACTCAAAACAGAAGGCCAAACAATATACAGAAAACCTCAACGCAAAGTTACAAAACTCATGTTCCATGTTGCCATGTTACGCGACTCCGTCGTCGTCGTCCCCGTCCCCGTCGTGCGTACGCACCCACGAGCAATACGGCTAGCCATGATAACCATGGGAAAATCAACTCATGGGTTTCCTTTTCTTTCCTATATGAGTATGGGGCTCCGCTATAAATGAAAGGTATTTACAGCTAACACAAGCAAATAAATGGAAGCAAAAGTGGAAGAGACACCACTCACTTGATTAATCCACCAATGGTGAACTCAATGTTGGACTTGTTTTCTCCGAAGATGGTCCTTGATAAGAAATATCCATCACTGCCCCAAAATGTAGGATTATCAAGAACCTTAAACCACAACATTACAAAATGAATTAATCAATCATGCTACCTCTGCAATGCATGGCATTTTAACCGGAGTTTAACAGTCTGATTCATTTGACAAATTTCTCATTTCTTGAAAGAAGCTTTACATTTACAGCGTACCTCTTGAAAAACACTTCTCATTCCATTCAAGGCATGTCCGGTTTCTCAAATGCCACCTGTTTTGCACCCAATCAAGTTCGCACCTACTGAGTCCATACCCCTGTACTCATTTTATACTTCCTATTTCACTCGAGTTAGCTCCGAGGTCAATGGATTAAAGAATGAGAAAAACACATGTTTTGTTGCATTTTGTTTCATTATGGCCCACTAATCTGGGGTGAACTTGATAGCTAGTTGAGTCGATGTGGGTGTGAACTCGCCTGGGTGCAAAACCTCCAGCTATCATATTCTCGAGTGCATGAGAAGTTAGACTGCTGGCAGCCTGTAGACCTTTTCTCTTAGGGTCAGATGAGTGGTACATATGTAATTCTTAAAGGTTTATTCTGAGATGTCCTCATTTGCATAACATGCTGCAATGTTGGAAGGGTGGCTTCAAGAAAATAAGATAATAAATTTATTCTTTTCACCAACCTGAGAGTAAATTTCTCCAGACTGGATGGATTTACACACTGTTTGCACTGGAGCTCCAATGAGGAAACAGATTGTTGTGAGTAGCATAAGGAATGATGCAAAAATGAAACAAAACCCAGCAGCACTAAAAAAGGAAGGATAACAAAAGAGAAACTGTCATTTATAAGTAACAATAAATGTCAGGTATAAAACTGGCCAGGGTTAATAAATAAAGATGTTGAGAAAGATGAAAAGTCCATAATGAGATTCAAATCCATGACCTTCCAGAGAATAGCTGCGTGCCCTAGCCCCTGACAGTGGGAGGTGCAGTTGCCTCGTGGTCAGCACATTCTCCTCAGGATCGAGTGGTCCAGGTTCCAGCCCTGGTAGAAGACATTGTGTTTTGCTCTTGGGCAGGCGAGTTTAATGCTGGGGGTAACCCTTCGATGGCCTAGCATCCCATCCAAGAGGGAGTAGAAATACTCCTAGTCACTTCATGTGACTGGATAATTGTAAGCACCAGCCTGATGGGCCACTTGGCTTGTATGCACACTTTACCTTTTTACCTAACCCCTTGTCATATGAGAAGTATTGTGTGATGATAAATAACGACAGATGGGAAAATCTATGCTTAAAGAATAAAGAAGACAGATGAAATGTTCGTTGTGTTACAAGCATAGAAGATCTTGACATAATTAATTTTTATAGTCTTACAAGACTAGTGTTCAAAATAACTTGACAAAACCTCGTACCCTTTCTGTCAGTTCACAAACAAATAAAATCAAAGTTGCTTACGCCATAAGAGATAAGCCACCCATGTTGGACACCGACCCACGAGTGGTGGGTGTGGCCTCCTTGTCATGTCCACACACGCCGCACATCAGGCCAAGAGCCATCAGTACCACAATCAACAGCAGGATACAAGTCAGTCCAACACCAGCCATCCAGCTAAAACACAACAAGTTCTTTTGTTATAGAGATTCCCAAATCTAGGGATCACATTTTAAGACAGTCACTCTCCTTACAAGAGAAGTGTCAGTTGTTTCAAATCTTGAAGACAAAAAGCTGAACTTCATACATTACAATTGAAGGCTTTCGTGTAAAAAGCGCGTATATCGCTTTTTGGGCCGACTTTCATTTTTTCAGGATTGAGCTAATTTTTGGCAGACTAACTTGTTTTGACATGAAAAACATCATTCTGTAATAATATAATGTCTTTGATGATTTGCACTTCATTTTCGAGAAATAACGTATGCAAAAAACTCAGTTTTCCAAGGCTATCTTTTGGAGATCTTTTGTTGAATGAAAAACAAAAGAAACCTTTTGTTTCACTAAATGATGAAGTCACCACCGAAGTGTGACATTTACGGCTAGTTGTTCAAAATGATACAAGTTTTATTAGTCATATAATTACGTTAATNATGATAAATAACGACAGATGGGAAAATCTATGCTTAAAGAATAAAGAAGACAGATGAAATGTTCGTTGTGCTACAAGCATAGAAGATCTTGACATAATTAATTTTTATAGTCTTACAAGACTAGTGTTCAATATAACCTGACAAAACCTCGTACCCTTTCTGTCAGTTCACAAACAAATAAAAGCAAAGTTGCTTACGCCATAAGAGATAAGCCACCCATGTTGGACACCGACCCACGAGTGGTGGGCGTGGCCTCCTTGTCATGTCCACACACGCCGCACATCAGGCCAAGAGCCATCAGTACCACAATCAACAGCAGGATACAAGTCAGTCCAACACCAGCCATCCAGCTAAAACACAACAAGTTCTTTTGTTATAGAGATTCCCAAATCTAGGGATCACATTTTAAGACAGTCACTCTCCTTACAAGAGAAGTGTCAGTTGTTTCAAATCTTGAAGACAAAAAGCTGAACTTCATACATTACAATTGAAGGCTTTCGTGTAAAAAGCGCGTATATCGCTTTTTGGGCCGACTTTCATTTTTTCAGGATTGAGCTAATTTTTGGCAGACTAACTTGTTTTGACATGAAAAACATCATTCTGTAATAATATAATGTCTTTGATGATTTGCACTTCATTTTCGAGAAATAACGTATGCAAAAAACTCAGTTTTCCAAGGCTATCTTTTGGAGATCTTTTGTTGAATGAAAAACAAAAGAAACCTTTTGTTTCACTAAATGATGAAGTCACCACCGAAGTGTGACATTTACGGCTAGTTGTTCAAAATGATACAAGTTTTATTAGTCATATAATTACGTTAATTAATTTCTTACTGTTGCTTCATTAGCGCAAGTGAATAAGGCGCTGAATGGGCCCGATTTGAGATTGTTTTGTCGTGACACCAGTTCAATACGAGGTCCTTTGATTTTTTTTTTTTTGGTCTATTTAGAACTCTACATCTTTCAAAAATAAAAAACATCTATTTAAAAAACCCCACGCTAATGAAGCTGCTAAAAGAAACCGCAATCCACCTTCAAACGATTCGCTCCAAAAGATGTCGCTTGGAAAACTGAGTGTTTTTGCAAAATTACCTTATTTCTTGAAAATGAAGCGCAACTCAACAAAAACAATTACACAACGATGCTTTTTATGTCAAAACAAGTCAGCATGCCAAAAATTAGCTTGATCATAGTAAAATAAAAAGGATGAATCATAGTAAAATTTAAAAACATTCTTTGGCTAAAATATTTTAAAAATGCAAGGTTTTGACTGCCCGGAACTGCAGTTTACAAAAGACTGCAGTAACTATCATACACTTTATTGTAATTTTTTTATATTTATTTGAAAACAACATCATTGACATTTTGACTACATGAACATGTGTTGATATTGTGATTCCAATAACAGGTTTAATGCAAAAAATCTCATAGTAAGGTATTCATTTCCTTACCGATAATTATCATATTGCTCCGCATCTTCCTTATAGCTTGGTATATCAGTATCCCTCAGTTTTTTCAATTCTGAGACAACATCCTAATAATGAAATTAAAAAAAAAGTCACTTGTAAAAGAATTAAAGCTTTTCAACTGTGGTCCCAGTCCTAACTCCACCTCCAAACTCTCACCATAAGAAGCTAGGGCACTATGGACCTTTGACACCATGCTATTAAATTTAATAGTGCGTCATCGAAAGTTTTATCTGCCCTCAAGAAAATGTGAAGGCAATTTCTACAACAAAGATGCCTTCGACAATAAAATTAAATTAGTTACCAGTATTGTCATATTAAGAAGAGAAGCCACATCAGCCTTAACTGGTGGTTATGCAAGTCCTCTATCCTGGTCAAATTTGAATTTAAAGATGTTGGTGTACGGTTGTGAAATTTTACTTTGGTGTGAGCTTTCCAGGTAGAAGCCTCCAGCTAAACTTATAAACTGAACTAAACTTAACTAAACTGAGTTGTTTCGATAGATGAGTGAATCAATCACTTTTTTCTGTTTTGTTCACTGTTTGGTAATTTCACTTAACTTTGAGTTCTCTTCTTGATCACCTGATGTATCATGCAACACTCTCACAATGTTGCCCAATTTGAATTCCGGTGCACTTGCCAAGACTTTTTGCAGTCTTATGACTGACTTTTTGCAGTCTTTTTATCCCCCTGGTTTGATATACATGTAACGTTTCATTAAAACAAGCTTCGTGGCTGGGTACAGATAACTTTATCTACCACTAGCCACCTCTCCTGTCGGGAACTGTACTGTATGTATACATTTTATATCCACGAATCTAGTATGTACTTACATTATCTGCTATTTTTCTGAGATCCTTTCTCATCTTTTCAACTGTTTCTGATGCATCACCTATCATGTTTGTAATTTCTAAACAAAGTAGATAATACATAGATTTTAGCCAAGCCTAAAAGTGGAGCTCCTGGGCCTGGTTATTCAAAGCCCGATTAAGCTAACCCAGGATAAGTGAGAATTTCTATNCCCAAAAAAGCTGCATTAGCAGAAACTAACTATGGTCCGTTTGTTTACTAGCTAGGGCCAATCTATAGGCAAAAAATGAGCAAAGTCGATTTTTCGACTTGTGCCGTTGTTTGGTCCATAGTTATGGGCACTGGCTCTTAAAACCTAAACTGAGTTGTTTCGATACATGAGTGAATCAATCACTTTTTTCCATTTTGTTCACTGTTTGGTAATTTCACTAAACTTTGAGTTCTCTTCTTGATCACCTGATGTATTATGCAACACTCTCACAACGTTGCGCATTTTGAATTCCATTGCACTTGCCAAGACCTTTGGCAGTCTTACGACTGACTTTCTGCAGTCTTTTATCCCACTGGTTTGATATACATGTAACGTTTTATTAAAACAGGCTTCGTGGCTGGGTACAGGTAACTTTATCTACCACTAGCCACCTCTCCTGTTGGGAACTGTACTGCATGTATACATTTTTTATCCATGTATCTAGTATGTACTTACATTATCTGCTATTTTTCTGAGATCCTTTCTCATCTTTTCAACCGTTTCTGATGCATTACCTATCATTTTTGTAATTTCTAAACAAAGTAGATAATACATAGATTTTAGCCAAGCCTAAAAGTGGAGCTCCTGGGCCCAGTTGTTCAAAGCCCGATTAAGCTAACCCAGGATAAGTGAGAATTTCTATTTGAGTTTTGTAACTTTGCAGTGAGGTTTTCTGTTTTGAGTTTCAAAAATCTCAATTCAAGCTACACAAAATAAAAGCAGTGAAAAACATTTGTATACCTTCCGAACAACCAGACCCTGATAAAAAAGTTAACCTGACATGAGCCTGTGATCCAATCTAAAAACCGGTACTTGGTCAGTGGTGAACTTTAGGAACCCATGTGACCTTGATGAGCTCTAAACCTGAGCCCAGGATATGGTCACGTGATACTGGTCAGCAGATACCTTGGGTACATACACCCGTGATCCATGCCGTTAGTCATGTTGACTGTGAAAAAAGAGTTGCATGGTTTTCTATTTCTATGCATGCATAAGGTTCTGTTCCTATAGTTATGGAGCTCCGCTACAAAGAACAAGTACATGAACACCAGCCTAATGCTTATTGGGCACTACTTTCTTTGAATCATGCTGATAAGGCAAATATCCAACTATGGGGGTTGCTAATCTTGTTTTGGAAGTGCCAGATATAAATTGTGCTTCCAAAGATTAAGTCCATACTTAGCCTAAATTTACTGGCAGCTCATGCCAGTTTCCATCATAATAGCAACCTGAAATTTGACCATGTTATAGAATTTTTAAATTTATGTGTTAGCTGTATACTGGGTTTGACTTTAACTACTACATAAAAATACGAGAACAACAGAGCTGTCAATAAGGGCCATAACCTGTAAAAGCTGCTACCCTTGGCTGAGTTTGCTGGATGGGCCTTTGATGTAATGGGCGAACTTGTGCGTGGTTGATACAAGTTACCCAAATAGAAACAAGTTTGCTACGGGTCTGAAGATCAAGGCTACAGGTGAATTAAAACTTAATGACAGCTCTGAGGAAAAGTCTAATTTTTTACCATTCCGGGTGTCTTGTGTATCATTAATGACTTTCTGTGGAATAGTCGTCACTTCTTCCAATCCCTGTAACAAGACAGAACTAGACATCATTAAAAACTACATCACAAAGAGATTTAAACACTATTGATTGAAAAATGGGTAAATTAATTAGATATTAAAGAATATTCAATAATGAAATAATTTCATTCATTTCAAGTGGTGAAAATGCAGAGCCTAAGCTAGTCTGAGGTTATGGTAAACAATTTTCAATGGTGGAATTTAAACCACTGATAGTTTCGTGCACAGTAGGTTAGCAATTGTGTTTTGGTCTGGGTATTGTTCTAATTAATATTTTTTGGACCTTTTGCTTTTAACACAACATTGGTGTTCGCAATGTCAAAAACTTCCAAAAGACGAGACTGAATGATAAAATTGAAGCCATTAATTTAATGAGATGCCTCCACTGACAATTGTGCTGTTAATAATGTATTATACATGGGCAAAAATTTCAGCGTGCTGATTGGCTGAGAGCACTTCAATTAATCCTGAACAGTGTAGAAAGTTGAAATGGAGTTGAAAAAGTTAAAATTGAGTTCTAAAAACTTGCAAGTACATTATTAACAAGTAATCAAATGATGTTTCTCATGCAAGTTGGAATAAATAAACACTAGTAAATTCTTAAAAGACCACAAATTGCACTCACCCTACAGGCTCATGCATTTTTTCAGTCTTTCAAAACTTTAATTGAGCAAATTTATTCCAAATTGCACTTGAAATGATTTCTCTACTTATTATTGATCTCAGATGTCTGTTGAAATAGGTTTTGTTCCAACAGCATTGCACACACTGTTGGTTTCATTCACAGATTCAAAAAAGAGATCATATGATGACAAATTTCGTGATCGTGTGATGAGTCTATCACTCCTCAGGGAGGGTGCTTCACAGTTTGTATGCAAGTTTAAATACAGCTGTTGTTTCGCCTTTTCTAGTAAGACACAATTTAAGATATGTTACAGAGAAGAGTTTGACAGAGGCAAAATCCATTGAATTTATGAGATTTACGTCAAACTTGCTACTTTTGAGGAATTTGCAACAGCTGTGTCGCAAACTGAAGCCAAGAGATGTTTGTCATCATGTGATCACTTTTTTTTAAATTCACAGCTAAAACCATCAGTGAGCACCATGGCCTGAGAAAACACCATTTCAACAGACATCTGGCATTGATGTAAACATCAAATGAAACAGACATTTCTGACTGGCAGCACGTGAGACACATGTCTGTGTACTTGAGCAAACATTATTGTGCAGCAAAAAATACCATCATAAACATGTAACCTACTTTTAGTTACACCCCATCTACATGTACTTCAAAAAAAGATTGTGGTCCCAAGATGGGGGTAAAACTATTTTTACAACAACTGTCTAATTTCTCGCACACTGATTGGCTCATTTTTATCAGCAATAATAGTACAGGTAGATAAAATTTTAATTTATGCAAACTTTCAACAGTTCAACTTTCAGCTGTCAAGCTGTCAACTTAATTTTTAACCAACAGGATTTTATTGACTTTTTTAAGTAGCCAATCAAAAAGCGACAAAAGCTACAGTATTGACAGTGTTTGCATCATTTTGAATAAGATTCGCTTACATGTATCTTTGTTACGGCAAATTTACGGCACCCTTTCCCTCATTTATTCCCAGCATTTGACCATTTTGGGGTTTTGTTATTGTAAAAAATAAATTGACATCAGTTTCTTTATGCATCTGTCCTCTTATCAGTTGATGATAAATTGTATCATAACAGTGTCCAAGTTTACTTTCGAACCACTCGCCTGTAGCTTGTGGTTCCACAGCCACTTTGACAATGTTATGATGCCATTTACCATCAATAAGAGGACAGACACATAAAAAACTGATGCCAATTTGTTAATTTGCAATTGTTACAAGCCAAGCAGGAGCCTGTTCACAATGAACCAACGATGAAGCAAGAGATAGGTAGAGACAAATAAAAGACAAAAGATGGCCTTCATAAGAATCTGGCCTGTGATAGCAATCGACCCTTTCAGTCCCAAGTTCAAAATTTTAATTCTCATTACCAACAGCCATACAGTTCTTTTAAAGTCAGTTCTGAGAATTTAGCAGTATGTCTGGACAATAACACTTAGCTCCTGTATGTGTATTGCGATGAGAAATAAGACAATTTTTGATCAACAACTTACATCATTGGCTGACTTTTCAAAGTCCTGGCTGATGACATCTTCGACATTTGAAAGTTGTCTAGAAACATTCGGAAGATTTGTAAAGTTGGCTTGTGTGTCCAAGCCATCTGTGTTTATTTCATTGCAGAAATTTGGTGGTGGATTTATATCACTGCAGTTGCTCTGAATGTTTGTTAGGTTGTCCTTTGCATCATTCAGTCCTCTTTGAAGATCTACTGATAAAGCTGTCAGGTTGTGGCTGTTGACTGAGATAACCCTCAGTTGATCTCTCATAGTTTTGGTTTCTAAAAAAATGAATAAAATAAAACAAAATAAGGATTTTAGCCAGTTAATAACTGTTATTTTAAAGCATACTTTATTACAAATGTCTGCATGATAATGACACACAGCAAGACAGAGTAAAACACTGTGATTAGATGCAAAGGACAAACAAATAAAATTCTTGCAAAACAACATCATGTGTGTAGCTTAAAACCCTCTTTCCCTAATCAATGTTGGTACTGTTAGTACTCTTTTTTTCAGAAACAAACTTGAGTGAAAAAGAGGCAGCTCTTCTCACAACAACAAAAGGTTAATAAATTATACCACTGTATCAAATGATAATCTTTAATTTCTTACCTATCTACCTCGTCATAGACAAGGTACATATAATAAGTGCAATTTTCAATGTTTGTAAAATTGGCCTTTTCTGCGGCCACGACCCAGCAATAGCAAAGAATGGGGTGCATTGGCTGGTGACATCATTGAAGGACTAACAATGTTTTCCTTCTGAGAAGAATATCAACGAACATGCGATAGCATGATTCAAAATTGTTGCAGAATGCAAGATAGATGTGTTGTTGGAGGGAGTAGCAGTACAACGAGCTTAGGAGAGAGAGCTATCCTCTTACTTCAATACCTCTATCTTGCTGGCACCCATCCAGAAGCAAGAAAAAGACGAAAGAAGTGTGCTGACTTGTGCATAGTTAGACTGAAAGAGGGAGCCATCAAGCAATTCTTTGATTTCGGTTTCGCCGCTACTGTAAAAACCTAGAGATTTTCATGGCCTGTATATTTTTCAGATAGCTTCTTGTGCAAAGCTTGACATTGTTAAGGTAGATAAGACATGAATTTGGGATAAGCTGGGAGCCATCTGACTGTTCTGTTGACACAAGCCTGAGTCTCAAACCAAAATAATGGAAACTAGGTGAGATAATTATATGGCAAATTAATTGCATCACATTTTTTGTCCTCGAAATAGAGAGTTTTCTAAATAAATAGTCAATGACACCTAACTCCTACAACAAGGCAATTAAGATTAGTAAGGCTTGCAACTGCTGAACCAGCTATGTATTTTTGGATTTTATATACAACCACATGCAAGCTACACACATGAGGTCAACAATGCCGCCGAGCCCTTCTGCATACACAATTGTTTTGTTCTTTGGGCAATGAAATATATCTATCTCCATTACAAACTTAAAACCAATCAAGCATTGATAAGTACATGTATGTAAGGAAAGTACAACAAACCATTTAGAATCGGCTTTACAGACAGAGATTGTAGTACTGAAAACAGAATGTGCTTGTTTTTGACTGAAATGCAACACTCAGGTTATTAGCATACGTAAAAAAAGGACTTTGAAAACAAAAGAACAGTGAAGGAGAAATGTATTGTATTATAACACTTCAACTCTTCATCCATGGTTTTAACCTTTATAAGCCAAATGGGCAGGAAAATTGTCAATCGCGACTTGCACTGTGGCGACCCGCACTTCAAATTCGAAAAAAAACATATATACATCGTAGCCGTCCAAATCGTAGCTAAACTCCAAATTGTATTGCTAGATGATACAGTTCTTTCATAAGTCTTGTCCAGTTTTGATAAAATGTGAAGCACAAATGCAAGTACTCCAAATATGTTTTCACAACGCTCAAAACCCAGTCATACTTCTCTTGAGTGTTATCAGCAATGTCCCTTGATGACATAACTACATGTCGAAGCCCACCTAGATCCCACTATGCTTGGTCATGGCAGCCACAAGCCACTGAGTGGCTTCAGAAATTACATCTCTAAATGCCTGAAACATGGGGATTTTATGTGACTGTGTCAATTAAGATAATCTTTAACTAATTCACTAAGGGAAAAATAGAAATTGAGGGGGTTAGTTACACTTTAAAAGTTGTACATGTAGTTAAAAATGAATTTTGTTTCCAAATTATTTCAAACTACATGTAGTTTGATTTGTTAAATTGTATTTTCTTTCACCTTAGAATAACAGTAGCATAACATCGAAATAAGGGAAATTACAAAATTAATCAAACTAGCACATCCCCTTCAAAGAACCAAATCCAGGACTGTTTGAAGAGAAAGAAACCTAAATTACATAATAAATTATAACTGTTATGCAGCGCTCACCTTCAGACAGCTTTTTAACAGCTTCAATGGGTTTAACGGAGACCTGGTCTAATTCTGTCAGTAGTGGGTCACCCACAAGGGCTTCAAGTTGCTCATTAGATATGTCATTTGTCAACTGCTTCGTAACAAAACCAAAGTCATCAACTAACAGCTTCTCGACTTCCTGGGAAAAGAAAAGAGGAAAAGTCAAGAGAAGTTAACATTGAAACAATAAATTTAATGACGGCAATGATGTGCATCAAGAAAATAAAATTAATGAAAATTAACATGCACAAATTATTGTAAATTACAAATAAATTACATCTATGTTAAGAAGGGCATCCTGAAGAAGTGAAACTTAACCATACATGTAATGCAAAGAACAACTTGACAGACAGTGATGTGAAGGTACAGGGTTCAGTCTGTGTTTGAACAAAGCACTTGGCCCATCAAGGCTGCATATGTTATGTGCCTGTGGTTTCATAACACAAAGCAACTACACGTAGGAGTATTTCTACTCTCCTCTGGATGGGATGCTACATGTAATCCATCACGGGGCTATTCCCAGCATATACAAAATTAATGTAATTCACCAGTACCAATTTAAACACTGGGTGGAGAGAGGCAAGCACAGTAGGAGAAAAGTGAGAGAGTGCCCAAGATCTATAGCTGTAGCACAGAACACAATGTGCCCTGCCAGGAATCAAATCCAGCATTCAGAGAGCTAACCATCAGGCCAACAGACATGTACCTCCTACATGTTACATGATTATTGCGACTTACCCCAACAGTCCTGTTGATGAATGATATTGCTTCATTCAAAATGCCTCTTGAAGTGCTGTCCATTTCATCAACGGTTTCACTCATTCGATCATTACATACAAATGTCAACAGCACCCCAGTACTATTGATAAAACACAAAAAGAAATACTGAAAACTGTAGGAATTTATGGCATGTGCAAAATACAACAATTTCAACACATTTCTAGCTTAATGGCTCCAAGGCTTATTGCGAATAAATTGCTATATATGCATTATTCCGTTACAAATTTTTTTACATTGAGAGCCACACCCTGACCCCCTCCCCGTTTTCAATGTTGTAAAGGACAGAAGCAATTTTTAGACACAGGAAATCCACCATATTTGTTTGCNAATAACAGAACAGACACATGAAAAACTGACATCAATTTGTAATTCTTCATACCCTGTACATGGGCACTGCACTCTACCTCTTACACAGTGCTCCAAGCTCAAGGTTTTCAGAAATTGCCTTTTGGTGACCTCCTTCTGTAAAATGGTCGCCACTAAGATGGAACTAGTTTCCAAAATCTAAGCTTTTTCAAAGGACACTATGTGGTAATTAACATGAAACTAATACTGCTGACTACAACATGCCCACATTGAAATCATTCAAAGAACGTTCCAAGACTATCAGGTTTCATTTGCAACTGTTCTTTTTTTTTTTTTTTTCCGTTGAACAGTCTTAACTACTGTTCAGGAAAGTAAATAAAAGAAAAAAGACACAGGCAAGACAAACATGCAAAAATTGTTGTTGAATTTGTTTGGCTCTAATAATAGTAATTATACCACAAAACCCTTGTTGTTGAGCAGTCAGCCATTTGTACTGCACTAGTCACCAAATTAGTAACCTGTTTGTAAAATTTAGTCACCAAAATTTATGTTTTTGTTTTTTTTCACTCGCCATGCATAGCAACCAAAATGGTCGCAGCTTGGAGCACTGTTATGGTGTTTGTATTAAAGAGATTTGACTATATACATACAGGATATCACATGGCAAAGAAACTATCAATATATTTATTAAGAGGCATCTTCTTACTGGACAAGCTATCAAAGATGATTTTAAACTACTACATTCAGATATACTTACAACATCAACAGGGTGATCATCAGCAGAATCACACCAAACACCGCTCTTTTGCAGTTGTTATTCGGGTTATCCTTCTGGGACATCTCCCCACCACACTTCCCACAGAGCCGGCAGCAGCAGAAACAGAAGCCAACAATCGGCATTAACAGGCAAAACAATACACCAATTCCAATCGTAATTATCATTCCCAAGGCATAGCCCAGGATCAGCTGCCGAGAGGAAAAAAACAGAGTTTTCAAACTACATTTAAGAAACACCAGCTCTTATTTTCAAAATTGTATTGATTTACCATCAGTCTCTCACAGGGTGGTGTATTGGATGGTCAGGGAGGGGGGGGGGGGGACCTTGATTTTACAGCTTAGCTTTTAAAAAAATAAGCATAAACTGTAGGCCTTGTCTCCTTCATCTTCAGTGTACATGATTAGCAGGGGATGTTAAAACACCAGTGGACACACTTATTGTCACAAAGAGTAGGGTATGTACTGTAGCTCCTGGTGTTGTGGTCTGGCCTTGTCTCACGGGTTGGTACTTCACATGGGGTTAACCTCATTGCACCTTATCCTCTTGGATAGAATTGTCCAAGAAAAATGGCTATGTCTGTGGCTATGCCATTGCGCAAGTTTTTCACTGCCAGACAGATCTACATGTAGTTAAGCCTTTCCTTTGCAGCTCACAGGCCAGGGTTGTCATGTACACCCTACACGCTTGTTTACTTTGCTCTCACGCTCCACCATCCTTTAAGGTACCATTCCCCAAGCTCATCTATTGTTGATGAGTTTAAACTCAGAAAATAATAGGCCTCCATTGCATGTTCATTTGCTCAAAGTTGCAAGAAATCCCTAATAAATTTAATCACAACACTTGTTACAGGTGTGATTTTCTACCAAGACCTGCTTAATTTGCACAATCATTAGACACTGTACATACCAAATTAGGAAACTGCAAATCCAATGATTGTGCAAATTAAACAAAAGCTCAGTCAGTCATTTCTGTATAAAAAACTCCTTAAATAAGAACACCCTATAATAATTATGGCCATAGTTTTGTGGCCCTTCAGTGGTGAGATTTTTAACAGGTCCACTCAACAAAACCTTGTACACACTGTATGTACCAATGTAACAGCATCCAGAAGGGTTATTTTTACATTATTTTTAATCTGGCCATTTATAGGTTGGCCATATTAAGAAATGACTGTCACAGACTGAGCTCTTGTTTAGGGCCAGAAAAAAGGATGTACATACATGTACATACACTTTATTGAGCATCTCTAAAAAGGGTTTTTCAAAGGTTGCCTTCAGGTGGGGCTTCACAGTGATCAGTTTAGAACCACTGAGAATTACAGGACTAGTAACTTTATATTTTAAAATAAGCTACATTTGATACTCACATCATCCTTAATATTAAGGTTGCTTGTCCCATCTACTTTGGCCTTGAGGATAAGATCTAAATACAAATTATAAACAACAAATTAGAAAATATGCTCATATTCCAAATTATCTACAGTGTACTACTGTTTTTTTCACAGTGGGCAAGTGCATTTTGCAGAATCTGAACACTATTTAACACTCCAATTGAATAACAATGTTCAGCAATCAAAAACTAAGTTTGAATTGAAGGTTCATTTACCCTGCAAAACTGTCAAGACTATTTTCTTCTTTCCTTGGTTCACATTCCAAATTTTTGGTAGTGGAGTGGAGAGTTTGCTTGAAAACGTAAAGGACTTCAATGAGGTTTATCATCTCAGTTTTTATATATTTTGTATTGAAGGCAATCAGAAAATTTAAAAAAAATGCAAAAGATGTACATATTTTAAAAAGTGAAAGCTAAAATTGCTTTGACAATGCCCCGCCCCTGGGCTGACAAATTATGGCAAATAACCTGCCTGGAGACTAGAAATGTTGTCAAATGCATGACAAATGCCTGGGGATTAAAGGAAGGGCTTCAAATTGACAGATCCATAAATAAAATTCTCTATATTTAGTATTAATAATTTCCAGAGGTGAATACAAGATTCAGACATTCTGATAGGTCAAAAAGCTTCGTTCATGATGCCATATTCACCATGCTAGGTGGGGGATATAACATTTCTAAGCTTGATTATTCACACAGATAGTTTGATATTTTTTAATTATCGTATCAAGATGTAGAATGATTCAAGATATAGAAGTTAGCTGGGAGTAACCATGAGCTGGTTAGGAGTGAACTTGATCAAGCTGGGGCGCACTCAATCGAGTCGAGTCAACGTGGGTGCGAACTCAGTGGGTGTGAACTCAGCGGGTGCAAACTCAGTGGGTGCAAACTTGGTCGGTGCAATCTCGGTGTGCAGACTTGCTTGGGTGCAAAACCTCCCACTGCCTAGATAGAATTTAAGTTGAATCTAACATGCACTCTCATTAGTTGAATTATGGTCACTTAGCAG